AATTATTAAGCCGTGGGCATCCACTGTTCAGAATCTGTGCTCATTCTGCTCCGGCTGTGTGCAGCTTTCTTGTAGTACAAGAATCAGCCAGCAGATGGTGTTCACAGAATAGAGCTTATATCAACACACACATACTGCAAGATCATCATGTCTTCATGAAGCTTCGCTGTCTAACTCGTGGTTACAGCCATTATACCTTCAAAATGAATGCAATAACTAAGCATAATCACTGGACAGAACAGTGCCAAACACCTACGTAACTGAAATTATTAAAAAAATTCTTTACTGGTAAAACCCTGTCTTATCTAGGTCATGTGATCAAAAGTCAAATGGTACCAATAGAATGTGGTAAATATTAATTAAATTAGTACCATTTATTTTTATTGGTAAACACTATTGTTAACACCTGCTGTTTTTAAATGTACTTAATAAATAAATTTGACATGATTTCTGCTCAACAAAGAGCTCATATGAGCAGGATGGGGGAAGAGCCCCTCCTTCCCCGATGTCTCCTCAGTTCTTTTTAATGCCCCTGTTTAAGCTTAAATTAGATACTGGTATTTAAACACATATCTACCATACATATATATTTTTTAAACTTTAATACAAATATTTATTTACTGACTGCTTTAAAAATAAATCTGACATCTTCTCCACCGCTGTGCTCTCATGATGGAAGGGGAGGGGGGGAAAGACACTTCCGCTTCATGTTCAGATGTGATTTTAAAATGAGATCATGATATTTAAATGTGTATTCACCGAGACAAAAAAGATGTCACACAGAAATAAATTTAAAACTTTTATTAAAACATGTACCAGACAATTTGCTTTTGTGAATGAGTCTCAAATCCTGACCATCGACACGTTGATGCAGCTTATGATCAACAGCTCTGCCTCCTCTGTCCTCCTCTTTAGCCAATCACTTTTAACATGAAAGCTGCATGCATTGAAATTGTTGAATGTTGAAACATTTTGAAATAGCATGAAATTCTCTGTGCATTTTCCAATATCGCTGAACAAATTAACAGGTTTGTACATGAAGTGCAAAATCTAGTAACATGGGAACTATCTGAAGAAATTACTGCACGTGTATATTGGGGGTTGGTCCTCGAAAATACCTCTTTAATCATCCAGGTTAGACTTCTGGTCAGATGATGACATATTGAGTGGAGTTATGGTAGGAATTTGAAACCGTGAGCAAGAGTCCCTGTATAGCTAATTACCCGAGTGCATTCTTTCTGTGTCACTAATGCCTGCCCCCATGAGGGGCGGGGTGCCGGGAGCAATGAGCTCCCGGCTCTGTCAAAGGAAAATGTTAGTCAGTGGCAGGAAACTACCAAGAGATGGCAGGGAGTCTTTCAAAATAAAATCTAAAATAAAAAATTTGAAAATTATGAAAAAAATACATACACAAGATGCTCCGCCTGTATTCACAATCTCATTCTTTCGGTCACTACCCAGGGCTTATGACCATAGGTGAGGGTAGGAACGTAGACTGACTGGTAAATAGAGAGCATTGCCTTACAGATCAGCTCTCTCTTCACCAAAATGGACTGGTACAGAGTCCACAAAATGGTAGATGCTGCACCAATCCGTCTGTCAGTCTCACACAACAATCTTCCCTCACTTGTGAACAAAACCCCAAGATACTTGAACTCCTCCACTTGAGGCAGAACCTCACCCTCGACCTGAAGAGAACAATTCACCCTTTTCTGGTTGAGGAACATCACTTCAGATTTGGAGGTGCTGATTCTCATCCCAGCTGCTTCACACTCGGCTGCGAACCACTCCAGTGAGAGCTGAAGATCATGACACAATGACACCAACAGGACCACATCATCTGCAAAGAGCAGAGATGGAACCCTGAGGCCACCAAACTAGAAACCCTCCGCACCCTGGCTGCACCGAGAAATTCTGTCCATAAAAGATATGAACAGAATCATGACAATAGGCAGCCCTGGTGGAGTCTAACTCCCACCCTGAAGGGGCCCGATTTACTACCGGAAATGCGAACCAAACTCTCGCACTGCTTGTATAGGAACTGAACAGCCCATAGCAACGTTTCCCCCAATCCCAAACTCATGGTGCACACCCCATAGTGTACCCCAAGGAACACGGTCAAATGCCTTCTCTATGTCCACAAAACACATGTAAACTAGATGGGCAAACTCCCTTGATCCCTCGAGGACCCTATTGAGGGTCAAAAGCTGATCCAGTGTTCCAGAGCCAGGACACATAACCTGCATTGTTCCTCCTGGTTCTGAGTTTTGACCAATGATCGGACTCGCTTCTCCCATGGGCATCTGTGGCTGAGTGGTTAGAGCAGTCGTCCTCCAATACGAGAGTTGAGAGTTCAATTCCACCAGCAGTCACATGTCAAAAGTGTCCCTGGGCAAGACACTGAACCCCTAAATTTCTCTGATGTGTGGCCCATCGGTCGGTGTATGAATTTGATAAAGCACTGATTATTCTTTGTATAGATCTAGTAGAGTGCTGTATGAATATATAAATGAGGACACAGATTGCAGTGTAAAGCGCTTTGATTATCTTGATCAGATAGAAAAGTGCTATATAAATGCAGTTCAGTTACCATTTACCATACCCCTGAATAGGCATTACCAGGGAGGCTAAGGAGAGTGATGCCTCTATAATTGGAGCATACCCTCCAGTACCCCTTTTTGAAGAGGGAAACCACCACCCCAGTCTGCCAATCCAGTGGTACTACCCTCGATGTCCATGCAACGTTGCAACGGTGTGTCAATCAAGATAGCCCCACAACATCCAGAGCCTTAAAGAAATCAGGGTGAATCTCATCCACTTCTGGAAACCTGCCGCCTCGTGGCTTTTTAACTACCTCGGCGACCTCAGCCACGGTTATGGATGGACCAGCCCTAAAGTCCCCTGACTCAGCTTCCTCCATGGAAGACATGCTGGTGGGATTGAGAAGGTTGGGGAAGTATTTCTTCCACTTCCTGACAGCATCACTGGTTTAGGTCAACAGCACCCACCTTCACTGAATACAGTGTTAGCAAAGTGCTGCTTTCCCCTCCTCAGCACCTGATGGTTTGCCAGAATCTCCTCAGAGCTGACCAAGCATCTCTATCCAAGGCCTCACCAAACGCCTCCTGCATCCAAGCTTTTGCCTCAGCAACAGCCAGTGCTGTGTACCGCTTGGCCCTCTGGTACTCCTTAGCTGCCTCCAGAGTCCCACTGGCCAACAAGGCCCAATAGGACTCCTTCTTGAACTTGACAGCCTCCCTAACCTGGTGTATCCACCACCAAGTTTGTGGATGGCCACTGCAAGAAGCACCAACAAACCTAACCACAGCTCAAGGCAGCTACTTCAACAAGTGAGGCACGGAACATGGACCACTCAGACTCAATGTCCCCCACCTCAGCTGGGATACAGTTAAAGCTCTCCCGGAGGTGTGAGTTGATGATCTCTCTGACAGGTTTTTCTGCCAGGCATTTCCAACAAACCCTCACTACATGTTTGGGTTTGCCGGGTCTGTCAGGCATCTTCCCCCGCCATCTGATCCAACTCACTACCAGGTGGTGATCGGCTCCTCTCTTCACCTAAGTGTCCAAAACAAATGGCCACAAATCAGATTACACAACTATGAAGTCAGTCATCGATCTGCGACCTGGGGCGTCCTGGTGCCAAGTGCACTTATGAACACTGTTATGTTCGAACATGGTGTTCATGATGGACAAACTATGACTAGCACAGAAGTCCAACAACAGAACACTGCTCAGGTTCAGATCAGAGAGGACATTCCTCCCAATCACACCCCTCCAGGTCACACCATCATTACCAAACAGGTAAACAAGTCTCACTTGTAAATGAGTCTTTGAGGCTCAATGTGATTTATCTGTTTAAATAAAGGTTGAATGAATTACCCACGTGGGCATTGACGTCCCCCAGAAAATCAAATGAGTCCCCAGCTGGCTCACTTTCCAGCACCACTGCCAAGGACTCCAAGAAGGCCAGATACTCTGAACTGCCATTTTGCACATAAGCACAAACAACAGTCAGAGCCCATATCCCCACCTGAAGTCATCTACCGGGGAAAACTTTTACACACAGGCACCAATTCAGGAGGCTACAAGTAGACTCACACCATGGGCAACTCCAGAGTGGAATAAGGTCCAGCCCATCTCAAGGAGATTGGTTCCAGAGCCCATGCTGTGCATCGAGGTGAGCCCAACTATATCTAGTCGGTACCTCTCAACATCACGCACAAGCTCAGGCTCCTTCCCCACCAGAGAGGTTATGTTCCATGTCCCAAGAGCCAGCTTTGGTAAGCCAGGGTCATAACACCAAGGTCCCCGCCTTCAGCCACTGCCCATGGCATCATGCATCCGACTTTTATGGCCCTTCCTGCAGGTGGTGGGTCCACAGGAAGGCAAACCCATGTTGCTCCTTCAGGCTGAGCCCGATCTGGCTCCATGGGTAGAGGTCCGGTCACCAGGTGCTTGCCAACGAGTCCCTCCCCCATGCCTGGCTCCAGGGTGGGGCCCCAGTAACCCATGTCTGGGCAAGAGACACTGAGTTTCCTGTTTTTTTTTTGTTCATATCCATCTAAGTCTTCTGAATCGCTCTTTGTCTGACCTGTCACATAGGACCAATCTGCCTTGGGACACCCTACCAGGGGCAATAATAACTGCCCCGACAGCATGGCTCCTAGGATTCGTGCGCACAAACTTCTCCACCACAGTAAGGTGGCAATTCAAGGAGTAGTTAATTATAAATAAGTGAATTATGTACAATGTCTTTATTTAAAAGAAAGTTGAAACAAAGTGTCAACACACTTGCATTTATTGTTTGGGTTTTTATTATTATAATAAAAAATGTTGGACAATTTGTTTTTATATTTTCCTTTATGTATATTGTTTCTTTTTTGTGCAAACAATAAAATAACAAATATGCCACTTGTTTACAGTATATCATAATAAATCAAATTTGTATTTGTCCAAATCTTTGGTTTTCTATATTCCAGGTGGCTACAGCTAAAGATTATGGAATTTTGTTATACAAAGAGGACCATGACCCGCTGGCCCTGGAGCTTTACCAAGGACATATACGACTCATTTATGGCATTGCTAGCTACCTACCAACTACAGTGTACAGGTAAGTCATTCCACATAAAATTCAATCAGTGCAACCTGTACTTCTCTTGATCTCATTTAAACATACCATACCATACCATACCATACCAATTTATTTATATAGCACTTTAAACAGTGACAAAGCACACCAAAGTGCTGTACAGGGACAAACAGAACAAGCACACAGCAACAGATTACATAACAGAACACCAAAAACGTAGAAACCAACAAAAACAGGAATGGATAACAACAACAACAACTGCAACATGACCAACACAATGTGATGCACACAGACTCAGCACAGATCACACAGTGCTAAAAGCCAGGGAATAAAAGTGTGTTTTTAAGCGAGATTTAAAAACTGTGAGGGAGGGGGCCTGTCTAACGAGCAGAGGTAACTCATTCCAAAGTCTTGGGCCTGCTACAGAGAAGGCCCTGTCACCTCTGCGCTTGAGACGGGTTCCTGGGACTGTTAGGAGCAACTGGTCTGCTGATCTGAGAGAACGTGGTGGGACATATGGCTGGAGCAGATCAGTAAGATAGGAGGGGGCAGAGCTGTTTAGTGATTTATAGACATACAAGAGTATTTTGAATTTGATTCGAAGGTGAACCGGAAGCCAGTGTAGGGAGGCCAAAACAGGAGTAATGTGCTCTCTTTTGCTTGTGCTGGTCAAAAACAGGGCTGCTGCATTTTGGACCAGTTGGAGTCTAGCTATGGAGGTCTGACTGATACCAAAAAAGAGTGAGTTGCAATAGTCAAGCCTGGATGTAATGAATGCATGAATTACTGTCTCCAGGTTATTTTTGGACAATATGGGCTTCAGCTTAGACAGTCGCCTCAGCCGGAAAAAGCAGGATTTAACAATCATATTTACATGATTGTTGAGTTTCAGAGAAGGGTCAAGTATCACTCCTAGATTAGTGACTCTTTGTTTCACTAACGGTGACAGAATGGATAGGTCGATGCAGTGGTTGGTGATTGTGTCATTGGGAGGAAACAGCATAACTTCAGATTTCTTCTCGTTGAAACTCAAGAAATTTAAAGCCATCCAATCTCTGATGTCAGCCAGGCAGTCCAGTAACGGCTGAATAGAGCGAGTACCGTTGAGTCTGAGGGGGAAGTAGATTTGGCAGTCGTCGGCGTAGAAATGAAAAGGTATGTTATGTTTCCTGAAAATAGCACCTAGTGGCAGCAGGTATAAAGAAAATAAAAGAGGACCAAGGATGGAACCTTGCAGTACCCCCCATTTAAGCGCTGCCGAGGCTGAACTAAAATCTTTGATGGAGACACAAAAGGACCTGTCAGCGAGGTAAGATCTAAACCATTCGAGGGCTGACCTAGTGATGCCCACCCACTGCTCTAACCTCGCAATGAGGATCTCGTGGTCGATTGTATCAAAGGCAGATGTGAGGTCCAGTAAGAGAAGGAGCACAGAATCACCAGCGTCTGTGAATAGGAGAATGTCGTTAAAAACCTTGAGAAGAGCAGTTTCAGTGCTGTTGAGAGGTTTAAAGCCAGACTGAAATAGCTCTAAGATGGCATTATCCTCTAGAAAGCATTTCAGCTGGGACTCCACTATTTTTTCCAGTAGTTTAGTGACAAATGGGAGTCTGGAGACAGGCCGGAAGTTGGACATGACTGAGGGGTCAAGGCTAGGTTTTTTCAGGAGAGGTTGGACAGCAGTATGTTTAAAAGTTATTGGCACCACACCTGAGGCTAAGCTGCTGTTCACAATGCCAAGAACAGGAGGGCCCAGAACAGGAAGAAGCTCCTTCAGGAGTCAAGGGGGGACAACGTCAAAAGGGGAGCCAGATGGCTTCATGCCGCACATGACCTGCTCCAGGGAAGACAGAGAGATGGGCTCGAAGTGGTCAAGAACAGCAACACAATGAGATGGGATGGACGGATCATGAGCAGGTGGAGAAATGAGTGCCCGGGTGTTTGCAACTTTTTCAGAAAAGAAATGGAGGAAGTTTTCACACAGCTCAGTTGAGGCTTCTAGAGGTGAAGGTTCACTGAGGTGTAGAACTGAGTTCAGGGTGGAAAAAAGGGCTCGGGGGTTGTGGGAGTTTGAGGCAATTATCGCAGAAAAGAACTTCGATTTGGCGGCTTTAACTGCCTTCTGATAATGACGCCAACTCTCCTTTAGGATTTGAAAAGAAACCTGCAGCCTGTCTTTCCTCCACCTGCGTTCAGCTCTTCTACACTGCTGTCTAACGGCTTGAGTGACGTCATTAAGCCATGGTTATGATAAAAGTTTTGTTTTCCTGGTTTTAACGGGAGCAACACGGTCCAGAATATTTAAGCAAACAGAGTTAAGCTGAGAGGTTAGCTCCTCGGTGGAGAGAGACACTGAGAGCTGATCGATCCTCTCAGAGCTAAAAGTTTCAGTAAAACGTGCAGCAGTGAAACGGTTAATGGCGCGTGAAGTACGTGCAGAATCACATGACTTAGCAGTAGGACAAGGCGGGATGATATCAAACAAGACAGGCATGTGGTCTGAGAGAACGTTGTCACCGATTACCAAATTACAAACAGAGACATCACGTGTTAAAATGAGATCCAGAGTGTGACCATGTTGTTGTGTGGGACCATTTACATGTAGAGTTAAATTAAATGAGTCCAACAAATCAAGGAAGTCCTTCACTAACGGCTTCTCCTGACAACAGACGTGAATATTAAAGTCACCAATGATAATAAAGTGATCATATCTTGGTGTGATGTAAGCCAGAAAGTCAGAGAATTCACTTATGAAGTCCTTGGAACGAGGGGGGCGATAAACAATCGCGCACAGAACGGGAGGAGAATGTCAGAGTTCAAAAGCACTCAGCTCAAAACTGGAGCAGGGCATGAGGGTGGACAACTGTTTACAGGAAAAGTTTGATTTAAATACAGTTAATATTCCACCACCCCGCCGACCTGATGGCCACAGGGCATTAAAACACAGACAGTCAGGAGGTAAAAGTTCCACCAAGGGACTTGAATCACCCAAAGGCAACCAGGATTCCGTGAGAAAAAGAAAATCTAGTCCCTCGTCTTTAAAAAAGTCATTTAGAATAAAAGTCTTGTTGGCAACAGACCTTGTGTTGATGAGGCACGTCCTGATCTGGTCCGACACAGAACCAGCCATGGTGGGGTTGGTGCGCGCCAACGGTTGCAGATTTTCAAAAACAGCGCCTCTAGGACGGTCCAAGCGCCGGGCCGGTAGACAACACCCATATTTTTCCTGGTCCGGGCACGTAGGAAGCTGGCTGTGGAAACGTTGACCACGCAGAGCTTTGAGTTTTACCAGCCGGCCGGCACGTTTACCCTGGCGTCTTGATCGATATCTCCGAGAAGGCAGGCTTGGGGCCCAGCGTAAACAAGCACGCACGTCTGCCAGAAGGGGTGGAAGAGGGGGGGGGTCCCGAGTCACGATCAAAATGGTCCGAATCAGCGACAGCAGAAACAGACAATCGAAGATCGAGGAGCTGTTGTCGGTCATACACAAGCAGCGAGTTGATATCCCAGACAAAAAAACGAAAAAATCAAAAATAATCCAAACAGTATCGTCAGAGGTAGATTGCAGGCCATGTACACTGGCGCCATCTTACCGGAAGAATACAAAGTGCCTAAAATGTTGTATTGCAATGGTTTATTGTCTGGGTGTCCAAATACTTCTTTAAAAAGTCTTCAGTTAATCCAAAATGTTGCTGCCAGAGTCTTAACTGGAGTTAGTAGGAGAGATCATATCTCTCCAGTTTTAGCTTCTCTCCATTGGTTCCTTGTCAAATCCAGAATAGAATTAAAAATCCTGTTTTTAACCTACAAAGCTCTCAACAACCTATCTAAAAAAGTTAAATCTGGTCCTCTGGACATTCAAAAAAACAAAACAAAGCAAATCAACAAAAAATGTAGAAACGTTTCGTCTCGCATCCGAGAGACTTCCTCAGTCTGAGGAGCTGTATTCAGCTCAGTCTCTTAAATAGCACCGTCTTTCTGCCTGGCTCCTGAGCTAGTGGGGACGCTCAGGAGCCAGGCAGAAGGAGAAATCCCACACAAGACAGGCTCTAGAGTAATGTGGATATCCAAACTGGGCCTTCCTGAAAGCAGAGAAGAAACCCAAACAGGACTCCAGTCAGCCA